CGGGTTTCCTTTGAAATTGCCGTCAAAACCCTCAAAAGGCTTGAGAAAGTGAGAAAGTGCGCGACAAAATGGCTGCCGCGACGCTCCCTTTGAACTTACTACTCAAAGGTCGTATGCACTTTCTTTTCAAAGAATATTCTTTTAAAAAACAATTTAATGTTTCGTAAATGGTCTGGGATTTATTAACAAATGTTTTGTCATTATGCAATAAAATTTATCTAATTAGTGTTTCTTATTTTTAAATAAAAGTACTTTTATTGAATTTAATTTTTAATTCAATCTAACATTTTAGAATAATTTCTTAAATTTTTCTTAATTTCTTGTTTTCTTAATTCCTTGAGCTTAAGAAAAAATTTTATTTTTTAAGGCACACCTTAATAAGTAATTTTTATGGGGAAAATTTAAATATATGACTCCTGTCAAATTTAGGCAACTTAATATGTTTCATTAGCCTATAAAGATGGATTTTTGTTTATTATTGGACCACAATTAGATTATAACGGGTTTCCTAAACTTTTAACAATTGACCATAGAGCAACAATTACTATTTCGTTTCGTTTCGCTCAGAAACTAAATAGAAATTTTTTATTTCGTTTCGATTGAAAATAAAGAATTTCTTATTCCGGGTATCTCTGCTTCCGACCTCGACGAGAGGGATTGGACTAACTACACATCGGAGCTGTTTCAAATTTACAGCTCCAATTCTCTATCTTTATGCTCCCGCGGTATCTGGGTTGGTACCAATATCCCTAGTCCTTTTGATTAGGTATAATTAACATAGAGAGCATAGACTCACAGACGAGGCATTTAACTAATCATAAAAGTATCAAAGGTCGTATGCACTTTCTTTTCAAAGAATATTCTTTAAAAAACAATTTAATGTTTCCTAAATGGTCTGGCATTTATTAACAAATGTTTTGTCATTATGCAATAAAATTTATCTAATTAGTGTTTCTTATTTTTAATTAAAAGTACTTTTATTGAATTTAATTTTTAATTCAATCTAACATTTTAGAATAATTTCTTAAATTAATTTAGATGAAACTTATTAATGTTTTAATCTTTATAATTTTTAATTCGATATTATGGAGTTTAATTAATTCTGTTAAAAATAATAAAACTCAAAAAGAGTTAAAAGGAGTTGGGGAAGCTTCAAACGATTTAGATAAAATATTAAATGAGGGGGCTGAATCATCGGTCAAACCTCAAAGTGAAAAATATAAAGAAACAATTACTGAGAATTACTGAGAATTTCAAAACATTATTAGATTGTGGGAAATATCCTGGAAATTTTTCTCAGTGTAAGTTGGACACTTCGGTGTGTAACGAATGTTGGGAAGATACAGAAAAGGAAAGGATTTCCTGTAATTGTGTAGATTTATCAGTAGAGGACATTTTAAACGACCCGCACAAATCTCTACCATTAGACGTAAATAGAGTTAAACTCAGAAGCGTCGGTAGTAAAATAATGAGTGAAATAAGCTATTTACCAATACAGGTTATGGTAAGAATTGAAAATTGGACTATAGCTTCTAATGTGGAAATTACAAAGTGTAAGGTTATGCCAATAAAGTTGTCAGGATGTTACAGTTGTGCTGGAGCTATTTTTAAATTTATATGTAAAGCGGATATGGGGAATATACTTGCAGAAATTAAGTGCAAAAACAATATATTTACGGCACATTGCTCCAAAGAAGGTGTGGAGCAGTATGCAGTTTTATCTTTTTCTAAAGAAATAGTACAAGAAAATTGTGAAGTAATTTGCCCTGCGGGCATTTCCTTTTTTAAGCTACAGGGCAAATTAGAATTCTATGTAGCTGAGAGAGTAAAGGTAGTTATGAAAAATGGTACTCCAGAAATTTATACAAAACAAAACACTGCTGGTAATTGGATATTTGATATCTGGAGTAATTTAAAACTAATTGACTTAAATAGTTTAATCTTAGATTTAGTTAATTGGAAGTTAATATTGATAATACCATTATCTTTAATAATTATATATTTTCTATTTAAATTATTATTCAAATTTTCACCCCTTTTCTATACATATAGGAGGCTAAATAATTTATTTTTGTTATCTTTAATACTTTCTTTTGTTGCCCTTGGAGGCTCTGATGAATCAGTGAATCATTCGATAAAAAATATTAAGGTTGAAAAGGAAAGTGTATGTATATACACATTATTTACATTCATATACATTCTTTATTTTTTATATACATCATTTATATTTTATTTAAAGAACATTATTTTAAATATTTCAAATAAAAAATTATTTAATTCAAAGAAAATGTTTAATGGTCTTCCTCTATTTGCTGCAAAATTATTAAATGGCCCTGAGGAGGGAATTTATTGGCGACTGTCAGACGATCTAAAGGATCGTAGACGAGTCGAACTTGAAGTAAGAAAATTAATAAATAAAGGTTCTTCCTTACTATTCTGGAATATATTCTGGGGAGAAGAAACAATACAAAAAATTGAATGTAGTGATTGGTTTTTAGTTAAGGATAAAGGGAGTAACTCGGTTAAACCGAATTGCTTTGACTTTTTCGAATATGAAAAGTTGTGTGAAAGAAACCGTCAATTTGTAGAAAAATATATGACTCCGGAAGAATCACATAACTTGATAGTCGGACCCGGTATTATAGTTGAGAATGAATTTAATGGAGATGAGGAATTCTATCCTTTAGAATGTTTGGGGATAGATATAATTAATTACCCGGATTTGATAGGAAATGAAACAGAAAACTTAGGGTTATCATCCCTAGAAGTGGATGTTGATATAATTTCCGGAGATCTTAAAAATCTAAAAATTAATATAAACAATAATAACACTATACAATTACAGGCTACTTTAAATGCAGATATTCACAGTGATGGAGGTAATACAAACGTTGGTATTACTGAAATTAAAACAAAAGTTACTATTTGGAAAAAAGCAACTACAATTTTATTGTTGTTTTTATTGATTACTGGAACTTGTGCTGGACCCGAGAAAAACAAGAAAAATAAAGATTTGGATGATATTCTAAATGATTTATTGGAAGAAGATTGCGATATAGTAGATATGAGCAATAATAATTTACAAAATGCTGAGGTTCAATTATTTAATAAAAATATAGATAATAATAACAATAATACACAGAGTCCGGCTAGTGTGGCAACCAGACCACAACCACAAACTTCGGCTGAAAATAAACAAATTGTTCATGTTTTTGAACAAATTCTGGAGAGTTGGATCGCCACCAGACCAATGTCTTCTTCTTCAGCAGCAGCAGCAACAAACTCTCTCCAACAAACACCTTCAACATCACAGACAACAACAACACCTACTCCAACATCTCCGCCAATTGCCGCCATTGTCCCTCAACCACAACAACTTCCATTCGAACAAGAAAATCCATTTACACAACAACAATCGGCCGCAGGCCCCATTAGAAATTCATACAACAACAGAAAAAATTGTTTTGTTTGTGGAAAAATTGGGCACTTAACAAAATCTTGCCCTACTTTATTACAATTAAAATGTCGTCCAAGCACTTCTCATTCAATAACGACATATTTAACTGCAAAGTCTACTAAAAAAGTTTATCATGAATTAATGGATATGAAAAATCGATGGGAGAATATGCCAGCAATAGCAACAATAATTGGAATGTTGGCTGAGCTCTTCCTACATTTATCAAAATCAGTGAGGGACTAAATTTTTCTGTGCGCGGAGTGTCATCAAAAAGTACAAAAAAGAATTTATTTTTTTGTTTGATGACGAATAATTTTTTATTTTTATATAAAATTTTATTTTTACCGACACATTTAAAAGAAACAATTTTTATTTTTATTTAGTCATTTTTTCACTTTTGATTTTTTATATTAAAATAAAATATATTTTTATATTTACGGGGAATTTAGTTTAATTAATCAAGAAAGAAATTTTTTAAATAACAATGTCGAAAGAAGACGGATTTACTTTGATTGTCAATTATAGCCTTATTAACCTCTATAACATGTAAAACAGTTAGTCTCAAAAATATGAACAGTTACAGGGTGACCAGAATTTTCATTGAAAATAAAGTGCTTGAAAATAAATTGAAGATTAAAAAGATTAAAACTTTAATAAGTTTCACTTTAATAAGTTTCATTCTGAAAAAATTTACGAATGAAAAAATATGTAATTAAAAAGGTGACCAATAAAATAATAAAAATATTTAGCGAGTTCTTTTAAGATTCTGAATATTTTAATTTTTTTAAATAAAAATATTCTTTTATCATAACCAGTGCTTCGAAATTTCAAATTTGCTCGTACTCGTACTCGTACTTCGTACCACCTCTTTTTTTGGCCTCGTACTCGTACCTCGTACCACCCCCATTTTTTTGCTCGTACTCGTACTCGTACCTCGTACCACCCCTATTTTTGGCTTCGTACCTCGTACTCGTACCTCGTACTTACTCGTACTTGAGGAAAAAGCAAAAAATCGAAAATTTTTATGATTTTTTGGAGCCCAGGGCATCTAGTTTTAAATTTTAAGCGTTGTATGTGATAATATTTGAATCTTGGAAGGCCTTGAAGTTATAAATCCTCCAATTTCATCCAATTTCTGCGCCGCAGGCGAAATTTTTGAGCATTTTAGAGTGCAAGGAGAAATATTTCCTCCAAGATGGGTCGTGCTACCCGAGATCCTACATTTTTTCATTCTTTTTTCATCCGACTTAATTTTTCAGCGCCCCAGGCGAAAATTTTGAAAATTTCCGAAGGCGTAGGCGAAAAAAATTCACTTTTAGTGTGCAAAGAAAAAAATATTAAGAATTTTAGAGGGTCAAAATCTCATAATTAATCCAAGTAAAAATACAATAATTTTTAAAAAAATTAAAAAAGTTATTTATGAAGAGAAAAATATTAAAAATCCTTGTCCAGTGAATAGGAAACGAACCCAATATTAAATCATTATAGACTTTGGTGCAGCCAAACACCTTCACCACTCGGCCACTCGCTCATACAATGAAAAATGAAAGGAACAAAATATATTTCTTTCAATTTTCCTATTAACACCAAGTACGAGAAGTACGAGCTCGTACTTAGGCCTCGTACTCGTACTTTTCACTTTTTTTTGGCCTCGTACTCGTACTCGTACTTCGTACCTGCCCAATTTTTTTGCTCGTACTCGTACTCGTACTTCGTACCAGGTACGAGTACGAGTACGAGGTACGAGTACGAATTTTGGTACGAGCTTCGAAGCACTGATCATAACCCCTAGAGCTCAGACTTGGTACCGGATATCCCTAGTCCTTTTGTTAGATCTATTTAGATTAATTAAGAGTTGATTTTGTGCCCCAAAGATATCCGCAGATATATATCCGCATATATTATAATTAAATTCTTTCTTAAATAAATTAAATTTTAACTTAAATTATTATTTAATTAATTAATAATATATAATAAAGATGAAACTTGATAGCGTTTTAATTTTTTTGATTTTCAATTCGATATTCTGGAGTTTAATTAATTCTGTTAAAAATAATAAAACACGAAACGAGTTGAAGGGAGTTGGGGAAGCTTCGAAGGATTTAAATAAAATATTGAATGATGGCGTTGAATCATCGGTTGTTCTTCAAAGTGAAAATTATAAAGAAACATTAAATATTAAAGATGACAGAAATTTAAAGCGGAAAGAAATAAATAAAAATTACTACACGAAGAATAAAGAATGGCTGAAGGAAAAAAAGAAAATGTACTATCAGAAAAATAAAGACAAGATAAAAGAATATAGTCGAAATTATTCTAAAAATTACCAGAAAATTAACAAAGAAAAGAAACGAGAATATAAAAGGAAATATGATGAAGCAAATAAAGAAAAAAGGCGTGCAAATAAACAAAAACACTATCTAAAAAGGAAAAATGAAAAAGAAATTCTGAAAAATGACAGTCTAGAAGCAAGAAATGTTCAAGACGATAATGAAGGAACTTCTTTGGTTAATCAAGAAAATAATGTTTGTGAAAATAAAGGAAAAGAACCGATTATTTTCAAAGAGAACGTTCAGTTAGAACAAGGTATTGTTAATTGTGTGGAAGTTGAACATCTTATTAAACAAATAGATGATGATATAAGTAAGGTGGCTGATGAGAACTTTTTGGATGATTTGAGTTTTTTGGATGATCACTGAATTTCTCATGATAATAAAAATTTTCAAATCAACAAACAAATTATCTGTTTTTTATATATGTAAACAACTAAAATATATTTTCCGTTCTTGTGCAAAACATCTTTCTATTTTTTTAGATATCTTTATGAAAATCTTTTTTATATGTTTGTGATCACTACATATTGTCTAATTTTTTGTATTTTAATTTACAAATTTATTAAAATATAAAGTTGTTTTTAAGTTTTGTTTGGTGAACTTGAGAAACTTGTATGTAAATGAAGTGTATATTACCCTCACCAAGAAGAGCGTTTTTTACTAGCTACCAGAGCTGCGTCGAAATTTAAAACACATCGTAAAGCACTTTACTTTCTCAAGGAAAATTTTTTAAAAATAAAATTTTGCACTTTAAAATTTCTTAAATTTCTTAAATTGGATATTATGGAGTTAAATTAATTCTGTTAAAAATAATAAAAATAAAAACGAGTTAAAGACAGAAACACGGATATCTGATCCTGATATCCATAAATTTCGGATGCGAAAATTTCTCAGGATTAAAAAAACCCTACTTCAGAGCCGCATTTGACAAAGATAAATTTTAAGTTTTAATTTTAAAAATATCCTTTGAAAATGTCCTTTGAGATTTCATAATAAATAATAAATAAGCTTTTTAGACGATATTTAGCAATATTGCCCTTTTACATATGTAAACCTAATCTTGGAAAAGTACAATTAGTAGAAATATGTATTTGTCAATAACCCTGGTTGTTTTTTATATTCTTTTTAAATTATCAGTATTATTTAGCTTAATTGATAAATTTATTTATTAAAATAAATTAATTTAATTAAAATAATTTCTCTTTATACCGCCACTACCCGTTTACTCTATAGGTGAGAGAAAAGGAAAGGAACTACAACGTTCACCCTTTCAATAGGCTTAGGATTTTAGTTGTCGTGGGGCTTGTCTTTATTTCTCTCCTACACCCACTTTACAACCTCAACTCATTCCCTTCTCTGAGAAGGGAAATGATCTATTGTCGCACATACCGTTAATTAGTTTACCGCCTAACTCTTCCAATAGGATTGGGATTTTAGTGTCGTGGGCATTCACTTGTTTAAGCTTCTCCTCAGTCACTTTTATCGCAACTATCCATCAACTCGTTAGGTGAATGACAGGAAAGGAAACGTTGTGGCAGCCACTTTATGAATTTACAGTTCAAACCCTCGGGATTTTACTTAAAACCCTCCTTTAGGAGGGTTTACTTAAAACCCTCATACAATTATTGTGTGGGTTAGACAATCGACCCATATGTTAAAAAAACCTGGGTGCGCACATAACCCCCACCGAGTCAAGTAAGTTTGTAAAAAAAAAAACGTAAACGAAAATACTACAAAAATAATAAAGATAAAGTGCTTGAAAACATACGTCGAAACAAACAAAAAAAGAAAAATAATAAAGAAATTCAGCAAAATGATTGTTCAAATTTAAGAAATGTTCAAGCTGATGATGGGGAAGTAATTTCATTTGATACCCCACAGAAAACTGCTCGTGAAAATAAAGGAAAAGGACCGATTATTTTCAAAGAGAACGGTCAGTTAGGACAAGGAAATGTTAAGTGTGTGGAAGTTGAACATCTTATGCAACGATTAGATGATGATATAAGAAAGGTGGTTGATGAGAAATTTTTGGATGATTTGAGTTTTTTGGATGATATTTGAATTTATGATGATAAATATTTCTATTAATTAACAGTTTTTCAATTCGGAAACATAAAAACATATTTTTAAAATTAAATCTTTATTTAGTGGGGTTCTTTTAATATTCTGAAAATTTTAATGCTTTTTTATTAAACCTAAATATTTTATTTTAACTTTTAGAGCTCTCCTTGTGTTAGATTTATTTGGGTTAATTAAGAGTTGATTTTGTGCCCCAAAAATATCGTCGGATATATGCACTTTCCTTTCAATTATTATTATTTCAAAATTTAAACTTTAAAATTTTTTACAATTTCACGAACTGTCTGTCATTTATTAAGAAATAATTTGTCATAAATAATAAATTATTTTACATAGTATTATAAATTAAATTCTCCTTTAAATAAATTAAATTTTAAATTAAGATGAAACTTGATAATCTTTTTATTTTTTTAATTTTCAATTCGATAATATGGAGTTTAATTAATTCTGTTAAAAATAATAAAATCAAAAAGAGTTAACTAGAGTTGGGGAAGCTTCGAAGGTTGGGGAAGCTTTATCAATTAAATGTTCTAATTAATAACAATTTATGGCAAGCGAGAACCTGCTGCTTAACTACTGCCTCTTCAAAGATTATAACGTGTTGTCAGATAAATAAGTAGCCCTTTGCGCATAAATTGAACAATTTACTAAAACTAAATAATGAAATGAAATCAAAAAACAATATAATGCCCATTATTATCTATCACATCTTGCCACTTGCTGGGCGGTTTTTAATTCCTCTTTGATAAAATCTAATGGCAGATTTGGTAACAAGTAATTTGGCAACTCAATTTGAGAGTTGAGCATCATTTTGGAATCTCACATCTCGCAAATGATTTTTTATTGAACGGAATAAGTGGTAATCAGACGGCGCAATATCCGGGGAATAAGGCGGATGAAATAAAAGATGCCATTCAAGTGTCTCCGTAATATGGTATCGAGTTCCGTTCGCGCGATGCTGGGGTCTGACAACCCATTATTTATACCAGAATTAAAAATAAAATCGTCGAAAATGTCAAGGAACCCTTTAAAGTATTTTTTGCTAAAATAAGAACGGAAATAAATAATTAATTTTACCAAAATAAAAAAAACTCTTTTCATTTTCCCCTTATTCCTCCTTTTCTTTACTTAAATTTATTAGATATTTTTAAGTTGTCATGGTAATGTGTGTGCTGTGATTCACTTTGGGACACTAAAAAACAACAGAAAATAGAAAAATGAAAGCAAGAACCGTTAAAGGCTTCTCTTGTTTTCCCTCTTATTTCACTCAAATTTTAATCATTAGTGCTTTTACTTGTTTTATTTATTTTAAATAAAAACAATTTATTTGTTAAATTATACTGACAAATCTTGCTATTAGACACACCTTAGTTGGAGTAAATTTTATATATAGTAATGCAGGTATTCTTAATGGAGGCTACTAAGTCTCATAATTGCTTAAACAGCTTGAAAACATTGAAGTGTATTAAGAAGCAAGTGTGTCCTATATTGAGGTCTGATTGTATATAAATGTTGTAAATTTCTTCAAAAACTATCTATTATAGCCTTACACGACAAATCTAATACAAGACCCTTACCGAAAATTACTTTGTATTTTTTATCTTTTAAAAATATATTTGGGGGTAATTAATTAATCAAATATTTTTTGAGGAGGCTTTTAATTAGAGTTGCCGAAATGACTAGAGTTTCTCCGCGTGATTAACCAGGGAGTATGGTCAACTGCTTTTAATCAGTTATTTTAATCGTTTAATTTTTTAAATTTATGTCTTAAGAAAGATTGATCCCGCTCCCTCCTAACTATTTTAATTATACATTAGCCTTTTAGAAATTTTTAATTTTTTATACTCATTTTCTAAGCATTTTTACAAGTTTTTTACCTCTCGAACAAATACATATAAAAAAATTCTCATTCAAAAATATCAAATTACCTCGGCTATAAAATATTATTTTAACAAATTTTAAAAAGAATCGTGTTGACGTCATAAAGGTAATGCTCTAAAAATGTTAAAGCGTAATTTTTTTTTCATTATTTTCTCTAACTAAATAGAATTTTTTATTCGTTTTACTAATTAAATAAACTTTTTTTAATAATTTAATATAATTGTTCAAATTTTATGTAGTATACATTTTTACGCTAGCTAGTATTACAGGTGCGCGACCTTTAAGTTTCCCTAGATTTAAGAATTGCTTTGGAAATACTTTAAATATAACCGAAATCAGACTCAAATTCTCAAGACTTGACTAAGTCTTGATTAGGTGTCGATTAAATCGCAATCATGGGATCTTGTAATTTTTTGTTTTTTGGATTTGATTAAGGGATTTTAAACCCCCTCAATTTAATTTTTATTTTCCCCCGATGCACATTTTTATTACGAGGATTTTTGTTCGACCTTCACATTTATTACAAACTTATTTTTCACGCAAAATCCAAGCCCCTCGAAAACCCCCGAAAAGCAAGACTTCAAAACCTTCTGAATTTCAGGAGATCCAAAAAATTTCGTGTTAATTCCATCTTTACAAACCTCTCCATTTCTATACTCTATTATCCTCTACGTTAATTAATTTTCACCATTTTCTCCCCCAATTCTCCTTTTTTTCTCTCAAATATTTACATTTACGCACCTTCCCTCACTCATTTAATTTTTTTTATTTTCTAAAAATTATACAAAAAAGCTTTATTTTATTTCTTCACTCATTTGCTCGCGCAATTTCCACACACCGGCTTCGCACGCAATTAGCCCGAATCCCCATCAATTTTATTCATTTTTAGAGAGTTTTTGAGGGCTAACAACACATAAAAGTACAAAAAATTGTGTCTATAGTGTGCATTTTTTTACTAATTTTTTCAAAAAGTAAAAATGTAAAATTAATTTTATATTTGGTGGATATTTCCAAATAAAAAATTATTTTAGAAAAATCCTTGTTATAAATTATAAGTGTGAAAAGACAGGTCAAAGAAAGACCAACTCAAGGAATGGCCAATTCAAGGAATATTTTAAAAATTGGAGTTTTTCGAAAAATCTGAATATTTTTATAAAATAAGCATTTAAAACAACTTAGAATACTTCAAAAACAGAATTTAAAAAAAATCTGAAAAATTTTCATTTTTTTAAATTCCGATTTTTAAAATATTCCATGAATTGGTCATTCCTTGCGTTAGTTTTTCCTTGACTTGTCTGTTCCTTGACTCTATTAAATTCACACTCGCACCTGTATGCAAATTATGATCTTGCCCTTTTTTCACTTAAATTTTTATTTTTTTAATTTTTTTATTTCTAAACCAAATT